CTTTTACATACCTGAGTCCCACTCCGTGTACTTTTTATATAATACACCCCTCTTCTCCTCTTCATATTACTATCCTCTGTTCCCAAATCTCATTTCTTTACCCCTCTGCTCCACCCCAAAACTTGTACATCTACCCCTCATTGCTATCATCACCTCCCCAAAATGCCTCTTCCACTCCTCCTTCTCATTTTTCCTCTCCTCTGTTCCCAAAATCCATTCACTATATCCCTCTGCTCCTCCCAAACATTTGTATATTGTGCCCTCACTGCTTCCCTCACCCCTCTATGGCACCTACCACCTCCTCCTATTACTCCACTCTCCCACTGACCCGAACACCTCCACTAGTAGTTTCTCACGCTCCTGCACATCACGCTCCTGCACATCCCGCTCCCATGCCACCTTTCTCACCTTCTCCTCCTCATAACCGCGGGGGACATCTCCCCGAATCGTGGCCCTCCACCACCTCCCTCACCCGCACAAAACCCTCCCGCCTCCACGTCCTCCCGCAACTTAGTATCTGTCCCCTGCTCCCTAAAATCTCCCCCCCGTTTTCATGTGCACTCCTGAACGCCGATCGGTGTGCAACAAGCTTACCGCCATCCACGACCTCTTTGTTTCCCGCTCCCTCAACCTCCAGGCGATTACGGAAACCTGGATCCAGCCCACTGACTCTACCTCCCCTGCTGCACTCTCCTACGGCGGTCTCACCTGGACCACTCACCCAGGCCCAACGGTCGTAAAGGTGGTGGGGTTGGCCTGCTCCTGTCACCGCTGAGCACCTTCCGAGTCCTCCCAAACCCCCCTTCCCTATCCTTCTCCTCCTTCAAGGCCCACTGCGTCCGACTATTCTCCCAACCCCCCTGAAGATTGCTGTGATATACCGGCCTCCTGGATCCATACCCTGCTTCCTGGAAGACTTTTCCTCCTGGCTACCCTTCTTCCTCTCCTCTGAGCTACCCACTATCATCCTTGGGGATTTCAACATCCCTGTCAACCTCGACAACCCGGACACAGCCCGTCTCCTCCACTTAACCTCCTCCTTTGCACTTGCACAGTGCATACAATCCACCACCCACTCCGACGGTAATATCCTTGATCTGGTCTTCTCCAACCGCTGCGCTCCCCACAACCTCACTAACACCCCCTTCCCTCTCTCTGACCACACAACCTGATTACCTTCTCTATCTCCTCATCCTCCAACGCCTACCCCTCCAAATGTCACACTACTACCAGCCGTAACCTCCGCAACCTTAACCCTGCCTCCCTCCACTCCGCAGTTGATCAACTCCATGACCGCATCCTCCCCCCTGTCCTTCCCCGACTTGGCTATGACCGCCTACAACAATGCGCTGTCAACAGCCCTTGACTCACTAGCGCCTTTAACCACACGCAACATCAGACCCCGACCGCTCCAGCCCTGGCAGACTGATCACACCAAAACCCTCAAACGACACAGTCGTGCCCTGGAGCGACTATGGCGCAAAACCAAATCCCAACAAGCCTCACCCGATACAAATCTGCCTTCCACACCTACACCTCCTCCCTCCATACTGCCAAACAAGCCTACTTCCTGACCCTCATCAAGGCCCTCTCCTCCAATCCTCGCCGACTCTTCCCACCTTCAACTCTCGCCACCCCCACCTCCACCCAGCACCTCACTCACTGCCCTTGAGATTGCCAATCACTTCAAAAACAAGATTGACACAATTCGCAAGGACATTGCTGCAACTGACACGCCTTCTCAACCCGTCCCCTCTCACACAGCTACCCCCCTCATCCCCCCTCCCCTCGACATAACCCACAGGACTTCGTCGCTGCTCAAACTCCCTCCAACCCCCTTCCCCCTCACTCAGCTACCCCCTCTACACCCTCTCCCACGGCCCCACCACTGCTCTGACCTCCTCTCCCACCCCACCCTACATTCCTCATACTGAAGCCCCCCCAACACTCCGCACCTTTGACCTTACTACCATCGAAGAAGTCTCCAAGATCCTCTCTGATGCCCGCCTCACCACCTGCCCCCTTGACCCTATCCCCTCACAACTCCTACAACCTCCCTCCCCCTCCATCCTACGCTCCCTCACCCACATCTTCAATCTCTCCCTCTCCTCCGGCACTTTCCCTTCCCCTCTGAAACATGCACACATCACCCCCATACTTAAAAATCCCTCCCTGGACCCCAATGACCCGAACAACCTCAGACCCATCTCCCTGCTCCCATTTTACATCTAAACTCCTTGAGCGCCTAGTCTACACCCACCTATGCTCTCACCTCAACGACAACAACCTCCTCGATCCCCTACAGTCCGGCTTCCGTCCCCTACACACTCCACCGAAACTGCCTTACTCAAACTCTCCCACGACCTGCTAACCGCCAAAGCTAATGGCCACTATTCAGTGCTCCTACTCCTTGACCTCTCTGCGGCCTTTGACACAGTCGACCACCCCCTCCTCCTCAAAAAACTACACTCCCTCGGCCTCAGAGATTCTGCTCTCTCCTGGCTCTCATCCTACCTGTCACAACGCTCTTTCAGCGTTACCTATAATGCCACCACCTCCCTCTCACTCCCCCTCTCTGTTGGGGTCCCTCAAGGCTCTGTCCTCGGGCCCCTTCTCTTCTCCATCTACACCTCCTCCCTTGGCCAACTCATACACTCTCACAGGCTTCAACTACCACCTCTATGCCGACGACACACAAATCTATCTCTCAACCCCCCACCTCACCCCCTCGGTCTCCGCCCGAATCACACACCTGTTGAGCAACATATCAGACTGGATGTCGCTCCACTTCCTTAAACTGAACCTCTCCAAAACCGAGTTTCTTGTCTTCCCTCCAGCCCAGACCACCCCCCCCCATTGACTTCTCCATCATGTGAAACAACGCCACCATCAAACCCGCCCCGCAGGCCAGAGTACTTGGTGTCATTTTGGACTCCAACCTATCCTTCCAGCCCCAAGTCCACTCTTTAACAAACTCGTGCAGACTCCACCTCCGCAACATCGCCAAAATCCGCACGTTCCTAACCCCAGAAACCACTAAACAGCTCATCCACTCCATCATATCACGACTCGACTACTGCAACTCCCTCCTCACTGGCCTGCCTCGCCGCTGGCTATCCCTGCTTCAGTCCATCCTGAATACGGCTGCCAGACTCATTCACCTTTCCAACCGCTCCGTTTCCGCCACCCCCCTCTGCCAATCCCTCCACTGGCTTCCGATTGCGCAACGGATCAAATTCAAAATCCTAACGCTGACGTACAAAGCTGTCCACCATACTGCCCCGAACTACATCACTAACCTAATATCCAAGTACCAGCCGCCCAGCACGCACACTCCGCTCCTCACAAGACCTCCTTCTCTCTAGTTCCCTGGTCTCCTCCTCCCATGCCCGCCTCCAGGACTTCTCCAGGGTGTCACCCATCCTCTGGAACTCCCTTCCCCAACCCATCAGATTATCACCTACTCTGCTCTCCTTTAGGCGCACCCTGAAAACCCATCTCTTCAGGGAAGCCTACCCCACCCCCTGCTAACTTGCCGACCTCCTCCACTCTTCCTACCACTCCATCCCCCACAGATATCTCCTCCTGTGCCACCATCCCCTCCCTCCTAGATTGTAAGCTTGAAAGAGCAGGGCCCTCGATCCCCTCATGTTTTGCATTGTATTGGTATTGTTCTGTCACATGTTCTGTCCCCCTTTGTAATGTACAGTGCTGAGCGAACTATTGGCGCTTTATAAATACTGTATAATAATAATAATAATAATAATAATGTAGCTCCCATTGGGAATCATACATGAAAATTTGACACCAGTGGTACTTTACACCTGTCAAACTCGCTTTATCTTACCCCCACCACTCATCCGCTTGCTGGAGACAATGTGGAGAAACAGGATCAACCCTGCATATTCTTTGGACCTGCAAATCTCTAAGATCGTTCTATATCTTCCAACTGATCTCTACAGTTGTTGGAGCCCAAGTGGCTCCAAATCCTGCTCTCGCTCTCCTCCATATAGGAATCGACAAATTCAGCAACACATCCCGTACCATCATTATCCACATATTGGCAGCTGCAAAACTTATCACTAAACTATGGAACTCTTCCAAAACCCCTTCTCTCTCTGCCCTTATAGCGGACCTGAACTTCCAATGTGACATGGAAAGAAGATCAGCCCTTAATAACGCTTCCCATCACAAATTTAATAACCAATGGTCTCTATGGCTACAAAACCCCAACAGTTCCATAAGATGATAATATATTCATAAATAAACAACACTGCGAACTTATGTCCTAGACTGGTGTCCCCCCTTTCCCCCCTCCCCTATCCCGTTCCACCTTATACAATGTTTTTACACCTAACGGCTCACACTAAATAAATAACACTTTCTAAAACACTAGATATTTGTTCATATACCCCCAGCCAATTGGTGGGGATTTTCTTTTTCTCTTTCATATAAGTATGTATGCACCTGATTGTGAACCGTACTGATATATATTATTTTGTATTGTATCAAAATCTTTCATAAAAATATTTGAAAGTAAAAGTCTAGATGACTTGGGTATTCGTGTATCCTTTCCCTCGTCTCACATGTTTAGGGATAACTATGAGACACTGTTTCAGGCACTTTTAAGGGAGTTGGCGGTCATTGAAAAAACAGAGCTCTCCTGGTTTGGTAGATTAGTGGCCTTTAAGATGCTGATCCTGCCTAAACTCTTATATTTTTTTTCATTATAATTCCGATCATCATTCCCCATTCCTACTTTCGTAAAGTGGATATTGTGTTCAGAAAATATTATATCTGGAGTGGTAGAAAACCTAGAATTCAGTTTTCCGTTCTCATTAAGCACAAATCTAAGGGGGGGGGGGGGTAGATCTCCCTGTAATATCTACCGTATTTTCCAGTGTATAAGATGACTTTTTTTACTTAAAAACATACCCCAACAATTGGGGGTCGTCTTATACGCGGGTATAGAACCGCTGGATGTGCGGTAATACTGTACGGTAGCTTCAGCCGCCGAGCAGGCTCTGTATTCATTAATAGAATACATCACTTGCCGTGATTGGCTCATATGACGAGGAGAGGAGAGCCGGTAATCGGCTTTCCGCGAGGGGGACATATACACTGATCATCAGTGTAGCCCCAGCAGTGCAGCTGTCAGTGTCCATCAGTGCCACATATCAGTGCCTACCAGTGCACATCAATGCCACATATCAGTGCCCATCTGAGCTGCCTTTCAGTGCCACCCATCAGTGCCAGTCAGTGCCACCTATCAATGTCAATCAGTGCCACCTATCAGTGCTGTCAATCCGTGTCATGTATCAGTGCTGCCTTTCAGTGCCCATCAGTGATGCCTGTCAATGCTCATCAGTGCCACCTATCAGTGCTGCCAATCAGTGCCGCCTATCAGTGTGCATCAGTGTCGCCTATCTGTGCCACCTATCAGTGCCGCCTATCTGTGCCATATACAGTTGCAAGAAAAAGTATGTGAACCCCTTGGGGATTACGTGGAGTTTTGCATGAATTGGGCATAAAAATGTGCTCTGAACGTCATCTAAGTCACAACAATAGAAGAACACAGTCTGCTGAACATAATACTGAAACAAACATTAGATGTTGCCATGGTTTAATTGCACATAACATGTAAAACATTCACAGCGCAGGGAGGAAAACGTATGTGAGGCCCTAGCTTAATGACTTCTCCAAGAGCTAATTGGAGCCAGGAGTGAGCCAACTTTGACTCCAATCAGTGTGATGATATTGGATGTGTTGCTGACAGCTGTCCTGCCCTTAAAAAACACACACCGTTTTGGGTTTACTGGCTTCAAGAAGCACTGTCTGATGTGAACCATGCCTCACAGAAAAAAACTACACGTAATCCAAAGGGGTTCACATACTTTTTCTTGCAACTGTATCAATGCCATGTATCAGTGCTGCCTTTCAGTGCCCAGTGATGCCTGTCAATGCCCATCAGTGCCACCTATTTCATATGGGTACAGTGTTGCATGACCACGCAATTGTCAAAGTGTAACAGCGCTGAAAGCTGAAAATTGGCCTGGGGGGAAGTGGGTATAAGTGCCCTGTAGGCTAGGGGGTTAAATGGTGTTGCCTCAGAAGGGGGGTAGTCTTATACGACGAGTATAGCCCAAAAACCTATGTTTTAACCGGAAAATTAGGGGGTCGTCTTATACACCCAGTCACCTTATACGCCGGAAAATACGGTACCTATTACTTTGCGGCATTATTGGATCAACTCCAGCATTGGTTAATTCCCTCGGATAAGTTATGGGTACAAATAGAGAATACACTCCCGGCTCAGCACGTCCAGGCATTATTATTTGCAAAAGTTATTTCTACGAAGTTAATACGTAGCTATCTTCCTTCGATCTCGGCAACTTTGGAAGCCTGGCTAATGGATCTAAAACTCCAGCTATCGCTAAACTAAGGCGGGAATTACCATTGGCAATACGAAGCCTATGAGAGATGTGGGTTTTCACTCTATTTCGGAGATCACTACTCTGCAGTCTAGGGGCAGTCTTTACCCATACCTTCAGATCCAGGCTTATCTTGGCGCCACTCTCAACGCATGGGTGGAGGTGGACTCAAAGATGTGGCAAGCTCTGATGAATCCATTAGGAATGAAGAGGGGCATATCGTGGTTCTACAACTTTTTACAACATGATTCGGGATCACTCTATGTTAACGTGTGTGGGCAAATGGGAGAGAGATCTGCATAGATCGTTCTTTCCAGAGGATTGGCAAGCGGCTTGGTCCTGTAATATTAGTCTCTCTCAATGTATTAATCATTGGGACAGTTCCCTAAATTCTACATCGCAGCTATCTAACCCCATTTAGACTTTCAAAAATTTATCCCGATACATTGCCTTCATGTTGGAGTAATTGTGGTGGTATTGGCACTGCTACGTATGTTGTGGAGTGTGGGTGTATACGGAAAGATGTGTTTAAATTGATTTCTAGGGTGTCCAGAGTGTACACAAATCCCATTTGGCATTGTTAAATCTTACGTTGAATATATTTTCAATCCAGTCCCGAACAGTGGTAGCTCACATTTTAATTGCAGCGCGATTAACTCTTACTAAAGCATGGAAATCCACTACATCTCCTCTAGTTTCAGAATTTATCCATAGAGTACACTTTCAGTACCTGTATGAACGGTCCTATGCAATTTCAAATCATTAATACTAGATGGTTATGCTGGAATGTCTAGTTCCCGCTCCCTGACCATTGATATTCTATGACAACCATTGATATTATAAACTGTATATAGCATATGTACTCTGTTAGACCTTTTCCCATTTTCTGTTTTTCTTTATGGAATGCGAGCTTCCTTGCCGCTCCGTCCTTTTTTTTTTTTCTTTGGTCCAAGTTCTTCTGGATTCTTTTCTCACTGTGTTACCTCTACAATTTCTTTTGTGTCTAATTTTTTTTGTTGGGCATTAAACCGTGTATTGTTATGCTTCTTACCTGGGCATATTACCAGCATACTATTTTCTAAAGTTTTGTAATAATTTTGGAAATGTCATTAATGCCATTCGCGATTATCTGTACAAGTTGGTTGCCGTGTCCTATCGGCTCAATTTTGATAACTGACAGGTTTGTACTTTTTTCCACTAATTGTCACGGTTGCTCACTTTGTTATTATTTCTTTAAAAAATTTTAATAAAAACGAATTGAAAGAAAAGGATATAATTTTCACGCAAACCACTCGATAAACACTTATTGGGATTTTTTGTTTTACAAAAGACATGTAGCAGAATCCATTTTATCCTAAATTTATGATTTTTTTTTTAATTGGATATGTTTTTATAGCAAAAAAAAAAAAAAATTAAAAATTTTCAATCTTTTTTTCGTTTACATAGTTACATAATTAAGTCTGGCTGAAAAGGAAAAAAAAAAAAAAAAAAAAAAAAGTCCATCCAGTTCAACCATAACAAAAAAAAAAGTTATAAACCTACACCCGGCCCGCAGCCTCACTGTGCTGGTGGAGGGAGGAGCCGCAGCATGGCGCCATAAGTGGCATGGCTAAGGAGCTCCGGATGCCAGCCTACTAGCATGTGTAAGCCCTAGGTTGAAGAAAAAACCTTGGCTGGACCCGGAGCGGAGCGTGCCTGAGAGCCGGGTGATCGGTGGACCGGGAGCCTCGGTACAGCGGAGGTGTGGGAGCGGTGTGTGCGGTTGGTCCCCAATACTCCGTGAAGCCGGCAGGGGACTGGCGGTAATGTGAGGTGGAAGGATGGAGAAAGGTGGGGGCCTCAAGACTTGAGGGTCCTGTAGGTGTCCGAGGACTTGCCTGAGCGGCGGGTGCGCTGCAACCTGAAAGCACCAGGAATAAGCAGCAGCAGGACTGGAGCCCAGTGTCCCTCCTAAACGCAAATAACTCATAGAGCCCCACTATCCCCCTCACAGACCCACACCGTGCACCCATAATAGCTTCTCCAAAGCCCACTGTGGGAGAGAACAACAGTGGCCCCAAGAGAAATACCCTATTTTCAGAAGGGGGTGGGTGGGAGATGCGGGAGAAGTGGAAGGGAGAGAGAGAGAGAAAAAAAAAATTTGGAGTCTATTTCTCCCCTCCCTCTCTCCCCCGCCCCAAACCGCCCCCTCTTCTTCCCCTAAACCCGCAGCCAGTCCTCTTTTTCTTATATCTTCTAATTCTCCTTTTTCTTCTTCCCATCCTTCTATTTCCATTCTTTGCAAGTCCAATCTCTCACAAAAGACTCTCAGTTCCTCTGGAAATCTCAGATAGGCTGTGACTCCGTTTTCTCCATCCAATTAGGCATTCTGGGGTTCCCCATCTATACTGCACCTTCTGCTTTCTCATTTGTTCCAATAAAGGTCTCAAGGATCTTCTTCTCCATAGGGTCACTCTGATGTTAAGTCCGCATAGATTTGGATATTTAAATCTCTATATTTAATTATTGATCTTCCTTTAATCTTCCTCCAAATCTCATCTTTGTCCCCAGATTTTTGCAATTGAACAACTGTATCCCTCGGTCTCTCCTTCCCCATGATCTGTTTGAGCTTTCCTGTTCTGAACACTCCATCCAGATTAATCACTTCTGATTCCGCTCTATCCATTATGGAGTTTAGAATTTTACTAACTAGTTTCATACAGTGATTCCCCTTTTACAGACTCTGGGATTCCTCGTACCCTAAGATTACTCCTTCTTTCTTTATTCTCTTGAACCTCCATCCTATAAAGAAGTTTTTTCTGAACAAAGTTCATATTTATTATCTTCCTTTCTAGGTTAACAATGGTTTGGGCCTGATTTTTAACTTTTTCCTCTGTTTCCTCCACTCTCAGCAACAGGTGCCCCAAATCATTCCGAATAGATGTCATTTCTTGTTTTATCATTTTGTCCAGACTTTGAAACATTTCTGTCATCTCTTTTTTATTTGGTACATGTAGTTCACCCTCAGGTTCGTTTTTCTCCAGCCTTTCCACCGTTTGTTGACTACAGCTGCTAATCATGTCCAGTGATAATCTAGGGTTACTTCCCAAGCTGATTTCCATTTCAACCCTTTTCACTAGTATCTTGGGGCCTTTCTGGGGTACTATTTCCTTGAGTAGTATTACTATATTTCTTGATCGTTCCCGTTTGTGAGACCCTTTGAGCCCTGCTCCTTTAATTCCTTTATTCTTCATATCCTCTATGGGTATTTCTTCTGGACTGATTTCATCTTTTTTTTTCTTTCTGAGTCAAATTTTTAGAGAGCGGTAAACTGGGGAGGATGGAGGAGAGGTGAGCCGCCCATGGGCGGGAGGTCAACCTCTTAAATCAAGGGTGGGAATGATCCCACAAATGATTAGTAGGCACTTTAAAAGCCTAAAAAGGGGTGGGGGGAGAGAGGGGACAAGAGTTGGGTGGGAGGGAGGGAAGGGAGGAGATATTGGGTCAATACTCTGCATGACAGAAGGGATAAAGAGGAAGAGGCAATCTGGAAGAGAGATGGAGTTAATTGGGAATGATGGAAGAAATACAGTTTATAACCTATAATGTGAACGGGTTGAGTTGTTCAGGGAAGAGATTTAGGTTGTTTAATGAGTTACATCATAGGGCTACGTCAGTGGTATTTTTACAGGAGACGCATTTTGAGATAGAGGCAAACGTGAAATTGAAATCCAAACACTACACAACATGGTACTATGCAGATTCTGCAATTAAAAGAGCAAAAGGGGTTGCAATAGGTTTTGCAAAGAATATGAGATTTGAGCTGGAGGATAGCAGAACCGACCCGGAGGGGAGGTTTTTATTCTTAAAAGGTAGACTCCAGGGGATTGAGTGTACTTTAGCCAATATATACTGCCCTAATAAAAACCCGGAGATGTATATGAAAGGTATGCTGAAA